ATTAATTCACCAATTCCCTATAGCTCAAGAGATGCTAATTAATTCAAGAAACCGTAATAGCTAATCATTGGCTAAATAAATCTAAAATGGAGAGAGTCTGTCACTGGAGATACCACTGCTCATTTTAATTAAAATTACCAATTTGTGAAGTAATATAAATAAAGGTTACTGTATCCTTCTACTCAGGAAGTATTAACACTGTGCATGGCCACCTGAGAATCCATGAGGACTTAAAAAGCCAAGAATACTTGTAGAATCTTATCAATTTCTGAGTTCGAATATTTATCATTCCAAGCATGTTGTTCATTGACATTATAAACCTATGTGGAATTACGCTGCCTTGAAACACAAAACGGAGAGTGGCAAAGGACTGAGAATTATTGCCTTGAAGGGAATACACTCAATGTCAAGGAATCAACCACCCCAAAATGATTACTTTTAAACATTCAGGCCTACAGAAAAGCAGATGTTCCAGGTCTGAGTTTCAATTTTTAAGGAATAGATTTATGCAAATGCCCATTTGTTTTAGTACTTTAGTAGCTAGGGTGATCTCACCTTGTTAACATTCAGTGCAACTGCTTATAGCCATTCTAATGTCATTTGCAGGGATAGGAAAGGTCGCCTCAACATTTCATGACTAAATGGCAGGGCTCGACCATGATGCTCACCCTAGGAAGTAGACACACCTGGACACTTAGCTGCTCAAGCCAGCCAACCCTGGAAAGCAGTGTGTGCGTGGGCAACCATATAGTTCAAGTCATCACTGAGTCCAAAGCTGAGCAGCCATAGTGCTCTTGATGGATTTGCCCTTGACGAAGAGAAATCCATCTTTATTGTCTCACTAGTCAGCCCAAGAGCCATTGATGAAGTCCTAAATCTAATTCTTAATAAAACCCCAAACGTTTTAGAGGCAAAATGAAAAAGCATAGTTCACAGATACCTTTTGGCCAAAGGTTGGGAAACTATTTTTGTTTTTTAGTCCAAAGACCTGAAATTAGTTTGAACTGAAAAAAGAAGTGACATCCTTTAGGACCAAGGTGAAGCTGCCGAAGGAAAATTGTTATCTTATCAAAAGGCTACTTCTGAACGGAGCCTCCAGACGGATACAGAAGTCTGGCTGGGACTTGAACCAGATAAACTTGTTATGCAAATAGCTTTAGCCAAAGGGGAAAGGGCTGATAATGAAATCGCCACAAAGCCAACCACACATTACAGAGGTGACAAAAAACATCAAGCAGCGACCTACCATATGCATAAAAAGCAGTGCAGAATTTACGTGAGCATCATGTTTAATTTATCAAAACTAAGCTGTCAGGAGTCATGCTTTGACAAATGCATAACTAACACATATAAATGAGTCAATTATCACTAACGACCACAGGTTCAAAACCAAACAGGCTGATGTTTCCTTTCTCTTTTTTTAACCCTCAAAATAGGTTTACTAATAGGATTTCGGACCTTAAAATCTCTCCTCCTGTCTCTAAATAAGGAAGGCTGGAAACACGTCTGAAAAACACTAAGCCATAGCCTGGTACTTATATCCTGCCTCTGCTCTCACCCATGCACTTATTTCTCTTCTCTCTCTCTCTCTCTCTCTCACACACACACACACACACACACTTATTTCTCTTCTCTCTCTCTCTCTCTCTCTCTCACACACACACACACACACACACACACACACACACACACACAGAGTTCCCTGTCTACACAGCTGTGATCACTGGCCTGCAGCCTGGTCAATCCCTTCAGACCCCTGCAGCAACAATGAGAAGCCATAAGGTCCTCTGGTGAGTGGTGACCATCATGGACCAAGAAAGACTGAAATTACTGAATTGACTCTGCTATGGTTCAGCAGTCACGTGGGGATAGGGTATTAAAGGTTTTAAAGCTGTTAAAATTTTTCTTGTCCTGTTTATTCTTTAGAAAGAACCAGTTTAGTTTACTCTAATACAATGCCCTGTGGCCCCATTTACAATGGGAATTGAGGAAATTTTCTGGATAATTCAGGCTAAAAAACTTTTCCTAAATTACCAGATAATCATCTTCCCACCTCAGTCCCAGCAATAATGAAAATTTTATAATCTGGAGGTCTTAATTCTTCATCCTTTTTCCCTTTCCCTCCCAATATGAGCAAGGAAAGTATAAAAATAAGCGAAGGCTCTCTCTTTAAATAGACATTTCTAACCCAGTGAGTGTCTTTGTTTACATTTAATTAGAGATTTGAATAAATAGAATGAAATAGAAAATTAAAATTACATTTGGTGGTCTGGCTCCTTTATGAAACCAAAGGGCATTATTTGGGAATCGTGGGTAGTTTTCTACCTAAAAATATAAAATATAATAATTAGTTCCTAATCTTGATAGTTACATTCCTAAAAATCTTGTAAAAGGAAAACTCATGATTGAAGAATCTCAGATGTTATGGGGAAAACAGGACTGGGGGGCTGAGGTCAGGAAAGAATCCATGAACACCTAAAATATACAATATTTTCACTAATAAAACCAATAAGGACAAGTCATTAAATAAATAGAAGACTGATGACATTTTTCCATATCTTAAATTAGTAATAAAGCACACAATCACTTAACTTCTATTTACCTTCCTTGGTCATTAGAACCTCTTCAGACACTCTACTCTGTAGTTTCAACAAGATGCTTTTGCTTTGCCCCTGACGTATGCATACTAAAGGCATTGTTTTCTATGTTGAGTCCTCCATTCTAGTATCAACACTTTTCTAAGTCTAAAGCAACTCAGAATGAGCCACATTTGGAATTCTCAGAGTTGGGGAAGACATAAGCAGATCTAATTGGCATATAACAGGATTTGGCATATAACAGGATTTGCCATAAAGAAAAATCAGCAGTAGAGAGGGATTTCTATACTGTATTTAACCCTGAAAGTCCCAATCCTATCATCAATTATGTACCTTTATTCCCAAATCTATCCAAGCAATACTGTGCTCAGTTTAAGAACACAAACTTACTCTTGAAGAAGTATACAGAACCCAAACTTTGGTGAGTGGTCAAGTCACATTTTAGAGGCATCACTAGAGCTCGGTATACGAAAGTGTATCTGTGAATATGTAATGTGGTTTTCCAGGCCAGCAGCTTAGAGAAGGTCAGTCAAGGGCATCTGTGTGCAGCAATGGAATGAAAAGGAAAACTCTTTGGCTCCAGCCTTTGCCAGCAAAATCACTGGAACCCTAGCCCCTGGATTTCTTTCCCTGAAAGAAACACATTTCAGATCAGCCACCAGGATGTCTTTAGCTCTCCAGGGCCTTCCACCTCCTCCTTTGGCTTCCAAATATCAGGGAGTGGCTCTTCCTCTGCTCCTATGGGAGCATCATCCCTCCTGCTGTTATCTGTTGTCCCTCTCAACACTGCCCACTGTCACCACCATTGACTTGGGGCTGCTTCTGCATTCTGCAGAAACATCAGAGTGGGGACTGAAGGGACAAGGAAATGTCCTCCATCCCTGGCCTTGAACTTCATGGTCACATTCCGCCACAGCCTTGCTAGTAGAATTCTTGGAGTTCTTTACCCTTCCTCTCTCCTGAGGAAGATGGCAAAAAGCTAGAGGGATTGACTGGACAGTCAAACAATTTCAGGGACCTTGAACTATGTTGCATTGAAATGAAAATGAAACACAAATATGTTTTGGAATTCAGAATTTTATCAAATTTTAGAAAAGCAAACCCGTGCATTTACTGTATTTTATGTAACATCCCCAGCAGGATCTGGGGCAGCACACTGTAATCAAACACATTAATATATCTGCAGCAATTCACATGAATATTCACACTGAGTAGGATAAATAATGGCTATAAATAGCCTCAATTCAGTTTAGGCCATGTGTTGCCACCAAATCAGTTCACATAAGGTCAGGGCTTGCAGCTAAATGACTCAAGTACAAAAAAACTTCCATCTTTCAGAGGTCTTTGGATTTTCAAATTGTGAACAAGGGATTGTACTGTGTTTAAGGAAGGCGATCAGGAGACCCAGTCTGCTCCACTGCTCTGCATCTTGGTGGAAGTTAAGTATGCACATAGGCATAATTTAGAGAAATTTGTGTTGACCCTTCCCTACTTCCTGTTTATCAGCTGTTTTGGTCACTTCTTTTCTCCTCCCATGACCTCTGAACCCCGTGTTTGATACAGTAGACACTGAGAGCACCTCTTCCCAGCTCCTAGCTAGGATATGGCTTCTAACGGCCTTGTCTAGATTCCTGCCCCCGCAGTTCACCAGGCCCCTTGCTTGGGGTCGTATAGCCCCCTCCAACATACTGAGCATCTTCCCCAGAGTCAGGACCAGTGTAGTTCTCTGCCAGGGGACAGGCCAAAAGCTCATGTTCCCAGCACTCAGTCACCACCCTGTTGGTGCTGCTGTTGATTCTGTTCCTGTCTTAGTCCCATGCAATACTGCCTAGCTCCTGGTAACAGAGCTCCCACCAGGAACATCGCCCATCAGTTGGGTTTTCATCTTGTTCTCCACACTCTGAGCCCTGGCTGAGGCTCCTCAGCTTGGAGCCTCAGGCCTGAGATCTTACTTTGGCCCCTCAATCATCTTGGGAACTGGAGCCCTGCTCCCAAAGCACAGATCCTAAAGCAAAGCCCAACTTCCAAGCTGCAAAACCTCTACTGAAGGCTGCCACCTTCTGTCCCCTCTCTGGCCCAAGAGTGGGTATCAGATTTTTAGATGCAGTCTCCTCCCTTATTAAACAAGACCCACTGGCAATATTTGCCCCAGGACAGAGCAGAGTCAGATGAATGTGACACATATGATCAGAAGAACTGATTATAACCAAGAGTCAAATGGAACTCCTTATTTCTCAAATCCTGCAGGGGCATCTTCTATCATTTACTGGAACAAATTTTGTGTCATAATGTGCTAGAAGGCATAACAACTTCTAGCGCCAAGTCAATTCCACACCTTGGACTTCTCCAATCACTGTCCAAGGACTTGCTGGATGAGCAATTTTCAGTGGAAGAAATACTCACTGTGAAATGAAGTGGTTGAATTCCTCACACCATTTTTCCGGATGAAGTAAAGTTGGTGGAGGATTTCTGAAAAATAAAAGCAATTTTTTTCTTACAAAGAAAGGGTTCCGTTAAAAGCAAAATATCAACTTGCCTTTACTGATATTGTTCTAAATAGCTCTGATAAAATCTATTCTTGGGGCTTCCCTGGTGGCACAGTGGTTGAGAGTCCGCCTGCCGACGCAGGGGACACGGGTTCTTGCCTCGGTCCGGGAAGATCCCACATGCCGCGGAGCGGCTGGGCCCGTGAGCCATGGCCGCTGAGCCTGCGCGTCCGGAGCCTGTGCTCCGCAACGGGAGAGGCCACAACAGTGAGAGGCCCGCGTACCACACACACACACACACAAAATCTATTCTTATTTCTTCCTGGGTGAGAGTCATTCACCAGTGGTAAATTATAAAGTACCAGCCCCTACTCATCTAGTGGCTCATTTCCATTGACTGAAGGCCAATCATGTCCACGGCTTTCTGCAGGACCTCTGAGGGTTACACACATCAACAACATTCCTCAAGGAGCAGACACTGTAGTGAAGGGTGAGGCAAGCGCACAGCCACTATAACTGAGAGCTAAGTATTATCAGCGCCATAAGAAAGCTATAAACCGAGTGCTAGGGGCTTGAGAGAAATAGACTTTTAATTTTACAGGATTTTCAGATCATTATACTACCATTTGAATTAATTATGTGATGCAATTAAAGTATACTTATAAATTCACTGGTCACATTTTTAACTCTTTCCTATATGTCAACCTCTGCAATAGGTACTGGAGAAAGCAAAACCACTAAGACAAGTTTCAGACCCCAGGAAGATCCTGGGTAGCAAGGAGGACATACACCTAATACAACTAAGTACTGGCGGTCCAAGAGAACTAGAGAACTGTGGAAAGACTCTGGTAACCAGACCATTTCCTGGTGGGAAGGCAGGAAAAGGAAAAAGTAAGAACCCTGCATTTGGCTGAATATTTACCCAAAGAGAATCAATTTTAAAACAGAAGGGACATTACCTTTAATTGATAAGAATTTTTTCTTTCTAGCTATTAATGGAAATAGGGGTTTGTGAGCAAGTCAAGTTCAACAAATGAAGAAAGTTACATTTCTGCACACCTGAATTATGACTGTAAATCTTAAACCCATTAAAAATCCTAAACACCTTTGTATATATAACCCTTCACTTGGGTTCTGTTTCCTAAAGCCATAGATTGCTCAGCCTCCATAGGCAGAGGCAGGGGAAGCAGAAAGAATGACCAGAAATTTTAAAAATGTATCAGATAATGTGATTGTAATTTGCCTCTTCAATACCATTCCATTTTTCATTTCTTCTAGTACAATTTTTATTCTGGCACAATGCTGCCATATATATTTTCCTGAGTTCCTTGCATCTAGATGTGGCCATGTGACTGCGTTCTGGCCAAATGATATATTACTAAAATTGTTCCGTGGTGTTTCCAGAAAGTCTTCTTAAAAGATGGGAGACATGCCATTTTTTTCTTCCCCCTATTTGCTTCCTGAAGCATGGATGTGATGGCTGGAGCCTCAGTAGCCATTTTGGACATGAAATGAAAATGAGAGCTATGAGCTGAGTATGGCAAAGAAGGTAGATAGGAAACTGGATTCATGATGACATTGTAAAGCTGCCATACCAGCTCTAGACTGCTTCTCCCTAGTCTTCCTTAACAGGAAAGAGAAATAAACTTCCATCTTCTTTAAGCCACTGTTATATGCAATTAATCCTAATTGAGCTGATCATATTTCAGAGTATTATCCTATTACATGATTAAAACACAATTTGATAAGTATATCACAACTACAAAGGTAAGTGGAAGCATAATAAAGGGGCAACTTACCCAATCTGGGGAGTCCCAGAAGACTTTAAAGAGAAAGTGAACTTGAGCTGGCCCCTGAAGGTTGGATTTTTCCAACCTTTCCAACCAATAGGTTGGATTTTTCAAGACAGAGGAGAGGGAAGCCATTTCAGGCTTAGGAAACAAGATGTACCAAGTCACAGAAGTGTAAAAAAGTCTGGTAGGTTCAAAGAACATGAGTAATTTTTTGAGGCTAGACTATATGATTCTTTCAGGTCTGGAGAGACAGTAGAAGGGAAGGATGAGGTGGGAAGGAAGAATGATGAGAGGAAATATATGGTTTCCCCATTCTGCATAAGAATTTAATCATCCTTCAGATCTTCTGATTCAAAGACCCAAAGGAAAATTATCTGTGTACCCACCTAGAAAGCGTAACAGTTGAAAGTTGCCCTTCAGTTATCTTGGAGGCTGCCTCTATCTCATTCATTTCATTCAACAATATTTGCCTTTATCTTTCCCTGGCTTTCTTTAAATAATAAAAGTACCATCACATAACTTCTGCTTTAACACCAGCATGGCTGACCTGTTCTTACTGGCTCCAGCTGTTTGAGATTGTACATGCACATGTCCTCCCAGTTCACCTCTGTGGGCATCTCTCAGTGAGCGGCTTACCCTACATCATCTCTACAGCCCTCTCCAGAGCTCGAACTTCCCTTGCTCTGCTCAGGTTTCCTGCTCATTCTGCTCTCACGGAGGTCAGTTCCACAGAGAAGAGGTGCTCAAGCAATCTATTGTCTAACACACTTCATCCACCCCAAAACCGTTAACCGTTTTTGCGTGTGGATGAAGCAGTTACTTGTAGACAGAGTAACAGACTTGATTAAACCGTAGTAAGCTTGACCTTGGCCAGCCGAGCACGGAGGGATAACCCTCTACTGCAATTAGAGAATGACCTGGCAAGGGTCCACCGGAGGAATGGATGGAAGTGTCAATACTTGTGTAGAGAACACTGTCCACTGTCCCTTCCCTGTTTTCAGTCTGTCCCTCAGCAGGAACCATGGGCAGGGGCTACTGTTTATGTGTTGGCCTGAACCTCTGTAGTAGGACACAGAGGAAAGCAGCAGATCGCCACCCACCCAGGCCACCACCAATCCATGGTGGCCTCACATGAACCCCGCACAAGGAAACACTTTCTCCGAAGCTTGGCATCTTAGGAATTTGGTCTTAGAGAAGCTCATTTGAACTTGTAGATGACCCGCCTGTCCTGGAGTCCATCCATCATACCTAGGTTCAGTAAATTGAGGTCTTGTGAAAGATTACTATCTGAGTATAATGGAAACTAGAAGGAATTTGGAGGCTTTACAGTACTTTGTTTGCATTGGCAATATAAACTCTAGTTCTCCTGCCATCCAGGAAGAGCACCAAATAATAACAATTGCACCTTTCTGGCTCCTCTCAACACTACAGATGCAAACTGCAACCTTGCCCAAAAGGGTCTCTCCCTGAAAGGAGGGATGCTTCATATTCAGTGTGATAGAACAGTCAGTGCATAGCTGAGACAGGCAGGTCTCACTCAGGTAGGTGTACGGATGCTGAGAGCAGGATGTATGAATGGTGAGTCCTGAAAGGTCCAGGAACCTGAATAACAAGCGCTCATTTGGATAATGTTTATAAACATACCAAGGCAATGTAGAAAAGAGATTAGTCAGTAAAGGAGAATGACTATATTCGATTTGAGGTTTGCCTGCCTGGATCTTATTCCTGTGTTTTGACCCTAAATTCAATTTCTACAAAATGATCCCCTGCACACAGACAGGATTAGGGCTACATGAGGCTAGCAGCAAGGGGCAATGCCCATTTTTGACATCATAATCCTGGGTCCAGCAAATACGATGGAGATAAAGTTAACCTTCTTCCCCCAAAGCCTCTGTGGAACAAAATGATTTGCTGAACAGTCAAACTGAATTCATTTTAATTTCCGAAATAGAGAAGTAGCTGATTGGATGAAGGGGGGTACCTGACCTCAGGACAACCGATCCAAGTTTAATCTGGTAACCTATGCCAAGGCATGACCCCAAATGATAAGCTGGGTCAATTCGATTCTCTTTAGAAGGTTTTCCTTTTTTTTCACCTTGAACTGAGAAACAAAACAAACAAACAAAAAACCAGGAGAATGAGGCACTTTAGTAATGGGAGCCGAAGCTGAAAGATCCATGACAAGAGGCCATGGAGTACACTGTACAAACTGGTTTTAGGAAGCAGATACTAGGAACAGGCAGGAAACCAGGGAACGAGAAGAAAGCAGGCCAAGCAGAGAAGAAAGGAAGAAATGAGCCGCAAGGAACACAGACCCCATGATGGGAGACCATGTAGGTTTTTCTTCAGTTTCTTTTGTGAGTGCTTCTCCCTCTGGTGCACCTACAATACTATCGGCCCCAGCATTCTGTTCTTAGCTCTATTCTCCTCCCGTTCTACACGTTCACTGAGGGCTCACTATACGTCATCAGCTTCCTAATCTGTGTCTCCTGCCTCAATTTTCCCTCTGCCTTTTGGCTGGTGCATCCAGCTACTTATTAGAAGTTCCATTTTGATTTCCCAGGGGCACCTTAAAGTCAGCATGTTCAAAACCAAACTCATCATTTTCCCCTAAATCTGCACTCTACCTGGTTGTTGAAGTCAGAAACTTGAGTTCCCCCCTCTCCATTGACCTCACATCCAACTTGAAAAGGCAGAATAAGGGTTCCCCTTATTAAAGAGGTCCACATTCTAATGCCCAGAGCCTATGAACATGCTACCTTCCACGGCAAAAGGGATTTTGCTGATGTGATTAAGGTTAAGGACCTGGAGATGGAAGATTACCTTGGATTATCTGGATGGACTCAATTTAATCTCAAGTCCTTTAAAGCAGAAAAGAGAGGCAGAAAGAAAGAAGAGGCAGGACAGATTCAAAGTGTGAAAGGTGCTCTACTCGCCACTGTTGGCTTTGAAGATGGGGGAAGGGAGCCATGAGCCGAGGAATGCTGGTGGCCTCTGATGGGCCTCAGCTAATAGCCAGCAAGGAAATAAGGACCTCAATTCTACAAATGCAAGAAACTGAATTCTGCTAATGACCCGAATGAACAAGGAAATCAGTTCTCCCCTAGAGCCTCCAGGAAGGGGTACAGCCCTGCTGACACCCAGATTTTAGCCCAGTGAGATCCATGTCAGATTTCTAAGCTACAGAACA